CCCGGGCGGGGGGAGCAGAGCTGCCGGTCCGTGTGCTCGGGGATGGAGGGATGGGACGGGATGGGATGGGATGGGATGGACACCCCGTTGGGGTCGGGAGGCTGCGCACAGAGCCCAGAGCAGGCGGCGCGAGGCGCTGCTTGCGCCGGGGAGTCCCGGGGTGCGGCGGTGCGGGGGTACCGGGCACAGGGGCTGCGGGAAAACCGGCCGGGGAGAGTAAACACGGAGTAAACGCTGAGTAAATCTGGTGTCGGCAGCACGGGATAGCGGGGAGGTGACGCCTAAACCCTAAATGGGAGGTCTGAGGCTGCAGCTGCTGGCACAGGTGGTGTCACTTCTGCGGGGGCTCAGGTGGGGGCCCTCGGTGAGCAGGGCGGGGGTGGGAAACACGGCTGTCCTGAGAGAAACAGCTCAGAGCTCGGAGAGTTTCACTGGGTTTCCTCTGCACTAGAACGGTGTCACAGGTTTGTCCCTAACGTGACAGCCTGTCTGCGTGTGATATCACAGCTTCAGCCAGGATGAACAGCAGTGATTAAGATTATAGTACTATTCCATTTATTAATTGCATTAAGCAATACTTTGTCCTTAAACGTTAACCAAAGTTATTTTCCACAATCACACCCTGTTTTCCATGCCCTCTGTGGGGTACACGTGGCTGGCTGGCAGCACCAAGAGCCATCTAGAGATGGGTGCAACGTTTGCCTGTGAAATAACTGTATCACCTTTACTGGCAGCAGGTGAAGGAAACACTTTCCTGTGCTCATTTCCACCCACACCCTGCTGTGTGGATAACAGGGAATGGTGTGGAACTCCTGCCAGGCTCCTTGCTTGTTGCTCTCCACAGCAGTGGGATGACGCTGGAGAATGGGAACAAGCCTGGATCAGCCAGTGGCTCAACTCAACACACCCTCCCACGGCACTGGTTGTCCATTAAAAACAGCTCCAGAGGAGCTGGAATTGTGGCTCAGGAGCAAGGACGTGCAGGAGCAGAAGGCCGTGACTCAGGAGCTGAAGCGAAGGTCAGTGCACGGTTTTATGGTTCTCCTCCATGGCTGCAATACTACAAGCCATTACTCATCAGGAATTTGGCAGAGTAGAGGTGCCTAATATCATTAGATAATCCTAATGAATTCTTGTGTAAGCAAATCTAATCTCTGGATGGTTCAGCGGGTGGAGGCTGTGAGTGGCTGCAGCCAGGGCAGGCAGTGACATAAGGACTGTCACCAGAGCCAGGGCAGAGCTGTGCCTGCTGCACACCTTGAGCAGCTCTGCAGGCAGCGTGCCTGGAAACAGCTCCAGAGCTGAGGGAGAAATCCGAGCAGCAGCAGTGTGGGAGAGCTGGAACAGCCTGCCCAGGGAGGGCGTGGAGCCTCCCTCTCCGGAGACATTCCTCCTCCAAACACCAAAGGCCACATTTTTTCTCACGGACCACATTTGCTTCTGGGTCTGAGTTCTTCAAAGGCTGAGGAGTTCATAGAATCACGGAATCCTGGAATGGTTTGGGCTGGAAGGGACCTTAAAGCCCATCCAGTGCCACCCC